ATCCCTTAATGGCTCGGTGGGCTGCTGAGACAAGGACCACAGATCCGCGTCGGAAGTTCCAGGCTGGCTCTTTCTGATTCCTCGGCCCACCTTATGTTCTCCTCAGTTTCTTCATCGTCAGTGAGATCTGTTCGCTCGGCGGAGTTAGCTCCGGCTCGGGTACGCTCATCTTGCAGATCGTCTGGCTCGTCCGTTAAATCCACTGCGTCTGGCTCGGTGTGGTCATCTTGGTTCTCGCGTCTGGCAGGGTCGGCTCGGGTCGCGACTCTTGTGTTGCCGGTTAGTGTCGCGAACGTAAGTCTTGTCGGGTTGATGCCAGGTAAATCCCTCCGAGCTCGTGACGGCCGAGTCTGGAAACGCGTCGTTTTTGGTTGCCCACGCGTTGCGATTTCGTCGACTCGCTGCGCCAAGGTTTTGTTAGCTTTCTCTTGATCGTCAGCTTTCTTCTGGAATTTAACCATCAGGTCTTTCAGTTCGGCTAGAGTCGCTAGGATCGTTGGATCGGCTTGAGGATTCTGAGGGTTCGGAGGGTTTGGGATCCCTCCTCCAGCTGGTGGCGTCTGACGACCGTCTTCGTTCATCATCCTTTTCAGTAATCGAGTTCTGCGTCTTAGGGTAAGAGAATTCTAAAGTATCCCCACAGACGGCGCCAAACTGTGGAAGTCGAAACTAACACAATCGAGATTTGTCTAGGGTTTTCATTTAGGGATACGATTTGCGAGAATTCTCAAAGAACGACAGAATCAATTGATACCAAAGATGGTGTTCTTGATATTATTAAGAAAAAGATGACTTTGATCGTACAAGAGTTTGATCGTAAAAGAAAAAGGTGTTTGTGCTGTGAGAGCTTTGCGTAGTGTAAATTCTAGAGCGATATCCCTTGCCCCTTCGTTTGAGCCTTGAGTCTCTTTATATAGGGATGATAAACCGCCTCTCCAGCGATATTCTCGGAAGATTTCCATTTATCTTGAAGTCGGCCAGAATATCGCGGATTAGGACAATTTCCTTATTCTTCGGAGTTTTCGGAAGATTTCCTGATTTGAGTTGATCCTTCGCGATTCTTCCTTATCATTTCCGAGTTTATCGGAAATGATCCTTCTTTTTCGGAAATGATAACTTGCTTGGAAATGATACCTTTGGAGAAGAATATTTACTAAGTCTTTGCTTCGGGCGATGATGAAGACTTCGCCTCGGGGAACTTGTGCAACCGGCTCGGGGACAGGAGAGGCATGGCCCAGGTTCCCGAGGGAAACCGGCTCGGGTTTACAGAAAGAGCCAGCTCGGGGGTCTCGACACGAACCGGCTCGGTTTCTCGGAGTGAACCGGCTCGGGCACTTGAAGGGAGCCGGCTCGGGTTCACAAGCTTGCTGACGGACCCGAACAGACCACGGGTGTTCCCCGAGGCAACCAATGCAGTCTGACCCGAGGTGAATGGCAGTCTGACCCGAGGTGAATGGCAGTTTGACCCGAGGTGAATGACTGTTTGACCCGAGGTGAATGACAGTTTACACCGAGGTGTCTTCAGAAGTTCCCTGAGGCGTTCGAAGTTCGGCTCGGTGCTATGGGATGAAATCCGACCCCAACAGTAACAAGAGGGATAAAACAGAACTACAGACAAATGGCTTCGTTTGCAGGCTTTGAAGAGATCATGTTTTCATGTTTTGTTTCCATGACAGAACCTAAGAATGTCAAAGAAGCTTTGGATGATCATTTCTGGACTCTTGCAATGGAGGATGAATTAGAAGAATTCTCAAGAAATCAAGTTTGGTATTTGGTTCCACGGCCTCCAAAAGTGAATGTTATTGGAACTAAGTGGATCTTCAAAAACAAAAGTGATGAAGAAGGAAATATCATCAGAAACAAAGCTAGGCTTGTGGCACAAGGATACACTCAAGTTGAGGGACTAGACTACGATGAAACCTTTGCTCCGGTTGCAAGGCTCGAATGCATAAGGTTTCTTCTTGGCACAGCATGTGGTATGGGGTTTAAACTGCAGCAGATGGATGTCAAGAGCGCCTTTTTGAATGGCATCATACAGGAGGAAGTGTATGTAGAGCAGCCCAAAGGATTTGAGAGTCTTGAGTTTCCGGATCATGTGTTTAAATTGGAAAAAGCTCTGTACGGTTTGAAACAAGCACCTCGCGCATGGTATGAGAGACTTACTACTTTTCTGACTGTGGAAGGATACGTACGTGGGAGCGTTGATAAGACACTGTTTGTCAAAAGGGATAGTCATGGGATGATCATCATACAAATTTATGTAGATGATATCGTTTTTGGAGGAACATCCGACAAACTTGTCAAATCATTTGTAAAGGCAATGACAACTGAGTTCAAGATGAGTATGGTAGGAGAACTCAAGTATTTTTTGGGGTTGCAAGTGAACCAGACGGATGAAGGCATTACCATCTCACAGAGCACATATGCTCAAAATCTTGTAAAACGGTTTGGAATGTGTTCTAGCAAGTCCGCCAGAACTCCCATGAGTACTACGATGAAACTCTCCAAGGATGAGGCTGGTGAAAAGGTGGATGAAAAGGCATACAGAGGTATGATTGGAAGTCTCCTCTATCTCACTGCAAGTAGGCCGGACTTATGTCTCAGCGTAGGACTGTGTGCAAGATATCAAGCCAATCCCAAGGCTTCTCACTTAGCAGCTGTGAAGAGAATTGTCAAATATGTGAAAGGAACAGTGAACTACGGGCTTAGTTACACCAGGGATACTAGTCTGGCACTAGTTGGCTACTGTGACGCTGACTGGGCAGGGAATCTTGATGATCGTCGGAGTACTACTGGTGGTTTTTTTTTTCTAGGAAACAATCTCATCTCATGGCACAGTAAGAAGCAGAATTCTGTAGCACTGTCTACAGCCGAGTCTGAATATATTGCCCTTGGCAGCTGCTGCACTCAATCCTCTGGATGAAACAAATGGGCCTGGACTATGGTATGTCATTTCCTGAACCTTTACTTGTTAAATGTGATAATCAAAGTGCAATTGACATCTCTAAGAATCCTGTGCAGCATTCTAGAACTAAACACATTGAGATAAGGCATCATTTTGTTAGAGAATTAGTTGAAGAGAAACAAGTTATCATAGAACATGTACCCACTGGAATCCAACTTGCTGATATTTTCACTAAGCCTTTAGACTTTGACACGTTTGTGAACTTGCAAAAGTCCCTGGGTGTTTGTGAACTCTGACTATCTTCTCGTTGAGTGTTTGTGCTGAAACAGGGTTGGTTGTACAGTGAGAAGTGTGTTTTTCCAAGTGTTTCTGTGATTCACAAGTGTTTTGTTTAAAATTTTTTGCTGAAAAGTTCATCAAGAGAAAGAGCTACCTATCATGTGTTGGAGCTGCAAAGTCAGTAAATTGTGAGATGGACAATGTGTGTAGAGCATTCAGGAAGGCGTGAAATGCAGAAAGGAGCAGAAAGAGCATTTCATGTCATAAGATGAAACATGAGCTTATCTAAGTCACGGGGGACAAAGGAGAAATCTTGTCACTAACCCGAGGGAACAAAGGAGAAATCTTGTTTACCTAACAATATGTGAGAGGAGCAAACATCAATCAAAATAAAAGAGGTTCAGAAGCAGTCTTGTCATAATAAAAAGAAAAAAAAAAAAAAAAAAAAAGGAACTGCTGTCCTCTGGTTGCAATCTTCTCTCACTGCAGAAAGGAGCAGTATGATGCACATTCACAAGGTCTGAAACGCATTCTCAGCCTTGTGGTTACATAGAGCCTGAATGCTGCTGCACAGTCTATCACATTCCTTGTCAAAGGACTCGCTAGCTCTCTGATCCATGACAGTGTGAAGACTACTCTTGAAGAATCAACATTCTCATATGTGTTGGAACAGCAGATTATGTGTTTTTTTTTTAAAAAAAGGGGAAGCTTAGCACTGTACAATTAGCTTTGGGACTGCACAGATGTCAACATGTGGAAGAGACGGTTGCTGTTCTGAGTACACTGATAGGGACTTGTTCTATGTCAATCACTGTCTTGCATCAGAAAATTGAGTTGGATCTTCAGAGATACCGTGTTTAAAATTTTTTTAAAAAAAAAAAACTAAGAACTCTGTGTTTTCTTTTAGTGCTTACTCTGATTGATTCTTGATTAAACCGGTTTTATACCCGGTTAGCACTAATTTTTGGTTTTGAGTTTTTTGTTTGTCTAAAAGGAGAACACGCGGGATATCACAAGTTTTTGTGTTTCTTTCTTTTTGAGAGTCGTTCCCAATTCCTCTCTCAAACCCTAGCCATGGCGAGAACTCGCGCTGCTACTAAGCGCTCTCATCCCGATCGATTGGAGCTCAATGATTCTGATAGTTCAATTGAGGAAGTTCCCCCGAAAGCAGCTCGTCGATCCTCGAGTTCTGCTCCGCCACCAGATGCTGCGACTGACTCCGGCTCTGCTCCGCCAGACAAATCGATGCCATCTTCTTCGAAAGCGGCTGGCCACAAATCTGCACCGTCCTCCTCGCATCCCCCAATCAACGATCCGGTGCCAGATCTGCTGAAGAACTTCATGAAGACCCGCGGGAACGTTCCGTACAACTCATCAGACCGCTGCAGCATGCATCGCTATCATCAGGCAAAGAGGGATGCGGCTGACCCTTCGATTTGGAAGCCGCCCTATGCTCCGATGAACATTCGCTTCCTCACATCTCAGGGAATTGAAAGGTACAAAGATTTCACACACCGTGAATTTCATGACCAAAGGTATGTTCCGCGTGGTCCTGCTAGTACTACTGAGATGATGAAATTGATAGAGGAGAATCACTTGTCTGATACTGTTAGTGAGATTGATCCGTATGTCAAAGAAGTTGTGCTAGAATTTTACTCAAATTTCCACATATTCAATGAGGTAACCAAGAAGTCGCCTGTGTTTGTTCGAGGGAAAATGTACGAATTCTCACCACAGATGATCAACAAAGCGTTTCGTACTCCTGCTATCAAGTGGCATGCCAAGGCTGAGTATGAAAGAGCTGCATTGTCGAAGCATGCCTTTGCTAAGTATCTGTCAGAAGGTAAAGTTGTTACCTGGAAGGACCTGCGTACTCCTGTGATGCCTACACATCTAGCTGGCCTGTACTTGATTTGCTGCATTAATTGGCTTCCATCAAAGAACAATTCAAATGTGACGATTGATCGGGCTAAGCTTCTGTATCTTATCAATGAGAAAATCCCTTTCAATTATGGGAAGCTGGTATATGATCAAGTGGAAAGAGCTGCTCGCTTTCCAGGTCAGATTCTAAACATTCTGCCATTCCCGAACTTGATCTATCGGGTACTTATGTTTCAGAGGGAGATTACCTTGGAGAACTTTGAAAAACCTGATCCACCTCCAAAGAAGTTCAATCCAGAAGTGAGAGGTGGTATAGATCACCCAAGACGTCGAGGAGAGTATGTGTTTGGAACCTCATTGGCAGGAGACCTGAGACACGCATCCACTCTCCTGCTGAACATGGCTGTCCGGTTGGAAGGTACGTTTTCAAGTTTCTTTACTAGAGTCTTGAGTGCATAGGTGTAATCCTGGTAGAAGTTTTGTTTTTGACTCAATTGTGTCATACAAGCAGGGGGAGATTATGGGTTAGTACATCCTTCTTCTGATCAGTCTCAGGGTGTGAATGCTGATGCCGAGGCTCAAGGTTCTGAACCTGAAGCTGATGACTCTTATGCTGAGCCCGTTGATGAAGGCTGGCCTTCAGAGAACTCTAATTCGGATTCATTTGTGGATTCATTGGATGTTGACAATGAAGAAGGGTTTGAAGACACTCAGTCAGGATAATATAGACTAGTTTTGGAGACTGAGTGGTCTAGGATTTAGGGGGAGTCTTAACTTTTGGCATTACTTCGGATTGTTTTTTGTATGTATGCCATGTTTTCTCTGTTTTTTAGTATTTTGCGAACAAGGATCCTGTGTCTGAATATTTTTCGGAGTTAAGACTTAATTTTAATAATTCCGCTGTGCCTTGTTTTTCGTTGATATGATGTGTGCTTGTGAATCTTGAGAGAATCATTGCAGGATGGCTTGAATTGACAAATTGAATCAAAAAGGGGGAGATTGTAAGTGCACTCTATACCAGGAGCTCAGATAAGTGCACAAGTTGCCGGAACAGGATTGAAGCTGTTCTTGGATACAGGAGTAATGACTAAGTAATTGTCGCTGACGTGGAATAGGCGCCAAATGAATGAATGACGTGGTGATCACAACAGAATAAGTTCAGTTTGGCAAGAAGATATTCGATGGAGATTTGGAGAGATCCAAGATCGAGAAGACTAAACCTAGAAGATCTGAAGACCTCGTGAATATAAAAGGGGTGCTAAGGCTCTTGCTAGGGTTAGCCGTTTCTGAAGCAAAAAAGTATCGGAAGCTTTTTTGTTCTGTTAGAGAGTAAGCTTTACTCTGTTTGAGTTGCAAGAGAGATTAGAGAGTGTGTTCTTGTAATTTTCTTGTGAGTCTTAGAAATCTCAGGTGACAAGCTAAAAGTAGTTTTAGGTCTTGTGTAAAACCAGTTAAGAGAGTTGTAACTTCTTAACTAGATTTCTAATAAAGTAATACTCAGTGTTTCTGAGTTTGGGAAATACGGTTCTGAGTTCATCCAAATTTCAGTGAGAAGGTGATGGCTATTGCATCAGCTTTTTATTTTATTCCATAGACAATGCATAGTGTTATAATGTATGATTCCAATTTCAGAGGTTTAATATTGTTTTACATATGGCTTGTTATGTTTATTTAATATTAATGTTTTTTGAGTTTCTTATCTAATAGTTATCACTAATTATATAGGTACTATATATATTTCACCATCTAATTAGTCCAATGGAGTGTGGTATGTAAATTAACCGGAAATTGTTCATTTAGTTTCAAATATTGTTCAAGATTTATAACATCTTGGTTAAGCTATTTTTAATAGTTTATTAATATGCTAGTTGATATCTAAAAAGAAACAACACTGTAAAGTAAATGTGCAAGCTTTTCTTTTTATAAAAATTAAATTAGCAAGTTGACCATATTTATGTACGAAGAAAAGAAAACTAGAAAATGCTTCAACAAAAAACGTGGAAATTTGGGAAAGAAAATAGAAAAGAAAAAAAAAAGGCTTCATAAGTCAGAATTGAGAGAATATTATATACTCATTCACAAAAATATGAACGTAAGAACTTTTAATTTCATAAAAAGCTTCAAACAAAAAAGAGTCTTATAAATGATTTCTTAGTGGAGTTCAAACCAACTGATGATAATACTTTGCCTTTGGTGGAAAGGCCACATTCTCTTGTATAATAATGCTACTAACTAGGAAACCTAACTTCTAATATATATATATATTTTTTTGTTAATTACCTAACTTCTAATATAACGATAATCATCCATCAATCACAATATAGATTTGTTGTTCGAAAACTAAAATACATACTTATGTGTGAGCAAATCTCTCTGACGTTTTTTAGTGTCGAGTTGTAAAAAAAAATGAATTGTTATATACTAATTCGAATGATATTTTTGATATTCTGAAGTTCAAATTAGACAGAAGTTTTTAACTAAGAAAATCACATTTGAATGTAAAACACATACCCCGACTCGAATAATGTGGAAAGAAATTTGAGCAATTGAAGGTGGATTAAATCTACATATTTATGAATACAAAAGTCATGAGTATTGAGTAATGTGAGAGTCATATAGTGTCTTCACCGTCCATTTAGGCTCTCTCTTTAATCAAAATCTATGTCGCACGCGTATGTGATATGTATATCTTTTTTATTAGTTTCTACTTTAATTTCTACCAATATCTTTTACCTTTTTTCCTTTCTTTTTCCTTAATCTTTTTTCCAATTATATATTCCAACAAACATTATATTTTGTCTTCTATTAATTAGTTAAAGACTTGTGATACATTGTTTATATATATGTTAGGAGTTCACTTTCTAAATGCAACTTCTTGTAACATGGATGATTGATTGGGTTAGAGACTTTTTTTATTTTTTGGGTAGAGAATATTATTTATAGTTTAAGTTGCTGAGAGCATAAGATTTTACTGGTCTTAGGAATGTATGTATGGTAGTGTATAATCATCTGCCTTTGGTTTAGACTGTTAGCTAGATAAGGACTCGGTTACATAGTTCATCTCTTATATTATAAAGCACAAGTCACTTGTGCAATCAAATGTGGACATGTGAAAAAGAAACTAAATTTTTAAAAAATTACAAAAGAAAAAAAAACATGTTTTATTTCTTATTATCACATATGTAAACAACATTCCCAAGAAATAACTCTTTTGAGCGTTAATTGATTTTGGATGACAAAAAAAAAAAAAATTGAACTCTCCCTTTGAACTCCCCACTAACACTATGATCAAAATAACTTCTCCACGACTCCACCTCTTTTCTAAAAATAGTTACTCCTTTTCAGCAAATATTTCCATGTTACAAAAATCAACAAAAATTTATGCTAAGCAATAAATGTCGTCCATTATAATAAATGTTAAATGTTTTATCAAATAAATGTTTCAATATTGCTCAAAAAGCAAATTCTTTAAAATAATTTAAAAAAAAATTTACGATCCAAAATTTGTGATAAACATATTTAGTTTAATATTGTGTCAATCAATTTATTTTCCCAGGGGGAGAACAGGGGCGGAAGGAGAGAAGATTCATAGGGGTCAATTGACCCCGGTAAAATTTTTAAAAATAGTTGAACTTTTATATAAAAAAAATTATTGACCCCAATCCAATAAAAATATTGACCCCTATAAAAAAAATTTATGTTACAAACCCAATAATTACAAGAAAACATCTTTCACATCTTTTAGTATATCGACTTATAAAGCTACTTTTTATGCATCTTTTAGAAAGAAAAAAAAATTTGACCCCGATGAATAGATTTTCTGGCTCCGCCACTGGGGGAGAATACTAGTATAATCATATGTTAGGAGTTCATATTTGAAATGCAACTTCTTATAACATGGATGGAACATGATTACATGTATTCATCATCAATGAAGAACTTTTTACTTTCAACACATATTTGAAAGGAAAGAAAACATGAGAGATTCTCGGAAGTTCATGTTCGAGCATACCAATTTGAGCCATACCAATCGATCTACGCGCTTTTTTGTAGGGATGGGCACGGTAATTCGCGGGTAAACAAATATCATATCCTTTATTCGACTCAAAGCTGAATCGAATAATGAAATCAAGGATAGACGACGGGGTATAAATTCCAAGTCCTAATTGATATCAACATATCATATACCAAATAGGAATCATTCTTTTCGCAAGAAAATTACAAAAAATCAGTTCAAGAAAATACATTGTCCGTTTATAATGGGCTTTTCACGTTAAAGACAAGCCCATACATGATACATGACAGCCTATCCAATTTAGTACTGTAATTTTGGATTTAGGAAAGAATAATCCGTCCCGCGTTAAAAAAACAGAATCGAAATTACTTTAGATTTTCACGTGACAGTCACGTGTTCGGTACCAGGGGAAAAAAAACCCTAAAGGAGTCTCATTTCTGGATAGAGAAGAGAGATAGACTCACACAGGTACGTAAATCTCCACGCTTTCGATCTCTCTGTGTATCAAATCAATCTGTTCTTGTTAAAGTTTTGATTTTTTCTTCCAATTTCAATCTGGGTCTACTTAAATCAATCGAAATCGTTTCCTCCGTTTACTTAATTTCAAGCTGATGCTTACTTCTTCTAGAAAGTTTCGATTTTTGTTGTTGTTGTAGTTTTGATTCGCGTGCTCTGTCTTAAGCTTGAAGGGGGGAGAACATGGCGGACCAAGAATCAGATAAGAACATTGAGATTTGGAAGATTAAGAAGCTAATCAAAGGACTTGAAACCGCTAGAGGTAATGGAACAAGTATGATCTCTCTTATTATGCCTCCTAGAGATCAAGTAGCTCGTGTTACTAAGATGCTTGCTGATGAATACGGAACCGCCTCAAACATTAAGAGTCGAGTGAATCGTCAATCTGTTTTATCTGCCATTACTTCAGCTCAACAAAGATTGAAGCTTTACAACAAAGTTCCTCCCAATGGTCTTGTTCTGTATACTGGAACCATTGTTACTGATGATGGTAAAGAGAAGAAAGTGACGATTGATTTCGAGCCTTTTAAACCGATTAATGCTTCGTTGTATCTGTGTGACAATAAGTTTCATACCGAGCCTTTGAATGAGCTTTTGGAGTCTGATGATAAGTTTGGTTTCATTGTTATGGATGGAAATGGAACTCTGTTTGGTACTTTGAGTGGGAATACTAGAGAGGTTCTTCACAAGTTCACTGTCGATCTTCCTAAAAAGCACGGAAGAGGAGGACAATCTGCGTTGCGTTTTGCTCGTCTTAGGATGGAGAAGAGACATAACTATGTGAGGAAAACCGCGGAGCTTGCCACTCAGTTTTACATTAATCCAGCTACAAGTCAGCCTAATGTCTCTGGTCTTATACTTGCTGGTTCAGCGGATTTCAAGACTGAGCTAAGTCAATCAGAACTGTTTGATCCTCGTCTTCAGGCTAAGATATTGAATGTGGTTGATGTTTCTTACGGAGGAGAGAATGGTTTCAACCAAGCAATTGAGCTGTCTGCTGAGATTCTATCTAATGTGAAGTTCATACAGGAAAAGAAATTGATTGGGAAGTACTTTGAGGAGATCAGTCAAGACACTGGGAAATATGTTTTCGGTGTTGAGGATACTTTAAAGGCTCTAGAAATGGGTGCTGTTGAAACTCTTATAGTGTGGGAGAATCTAGATATCAATAGGTATGAGTTAAAGAACAACACGACCGGAGAAATTGTGATTAAGCATTTGGGAAAAGATCAAGAGAACAACCAAAGCAATTTCCATGAAGCAGAGACCAATGCGGAGTTAGAGGTTCAGGAGAAGATACCTCTGCTTGAATGGTTTGCTAATGAGTATAAACGTTTCGGTTGTACACTTGAGTTTGTGACTAACAAGTCCCAAGAAGGATCACAATTTTGCAGAGGCTTTGGCGGAATCGGTGGATTGTTGCGATACCAGCTTGATATGAGGACGTTCGACGAATTATCAGATGGTGATGTTTATGAAGATTCCGATTAAGTAAGAGAAAATGTGGTTTAAGATCTGAAGAAGGATTTGAAGTTTGGGGAAAAAAGAAAGACTCAGAACTTTTGTTTGTTTTACTTTGTCTCTCTCTATTATCTTCCATTTTCATGTTGCCTCTTCTTAAGTTTTTCTGAAACACTTTTGTTAAAATGTATGAAAAATTTGAGCTTCTATTTTGAAGACATTTCTTATTGGCTAATTGAGAATTACACAGCATTAATATTGCCTCAACGGTAATATTAGTCTAATCAGTCTCAATGAGAATCAACATAAATAGTGTTACCATAAGTAAATGTTCTCAGAATTCAGAAACTGGAAAGTAGCCGTTGGATTAATTGGAAAAGAAAGGAAACGAAAAGGGATACAAATAGCAAAATCTTTGGTATAAGATTTCACAATCTTTTGTGTTCTTTCTTTATATTTGTTTTCTGAGAAAATCTTGAGATGAATCCAAAAAGATGTGCAGCTTGCAAATATCTGAGAAGAAGATGTCCAAAAGATTGCATTTTCTCACCATATTTCCCCCCAAACGATCCTGCAAAATTTGCATGCATCCACAGAATCTATGGTGCTGGTAATGTTTCCAAAATGCTTCAGGTATTATATCTACACATCTTTTAGTGTATCATCTATTCTAAAATCCTACATAAGATCACGTTTATGCATATATTAAAGCATTTCATGGTTGGATTTTGGTGATCCTTTTTTGACAGCAACTTCCTGATCAGACAAGAGCAGAAGCAGTGGAATCTTTGTGCTTTGAAGCAAAATGCAGAGTAGATGATCCTGTTTATGGTTGTGTTGGCATTATTCATTTACTTCAAACTCAAATTCAGCAAACTCAGAATCAGTTGGCCAAAACTCAAGCTGAGATTGCTGTTGCTCAAACCAAATTTAGCCAAACCCATAATTCTGATTTTATGTAATATCTCTCTGTTTCATCAACACTTTCTTAATAGAATAATCGCGTTTTCTGTTTCTGATTGCGTCTACTAAAAAGATAATTATCCTCTTAGAATTCCACTAACTTTGATCAAGAGGCCATTAGCTACACTATAAACACAAAATGTAAACAAGTTTGAATCGAGTTTATTATTATCAAAAATCCATAACTCAGCTACAATTATACATTCTTGACCGATATTTTGAGAATCATAATGTAAAAAGATAAATGAAGATCTGTTTACAAAATACATGACATTATTACAAATCGAATTTACTATTTTCACTGCTTAAGCATATCTAAACTCCATTCCCTTTACAAGTACATGGGATTACACTACTTTTGCAGGAGATTTTCTTTTATAGTTACAAAGATGATCAATGAATTTGTTTAACGGACGAAAAAATATATGTCAAGAGACGCTGAACCTTCAAAATCGGCCTGTATCCCACTTGGAGAACATAATTTGATGCTGGCTCGGAGTTTCGTGCCTTTCATTCACTCGATCCGTGTATTCATTACCAAATGAAGAATTGAAGTTTGGATCAGAATCCATGGAATCAGAAGCTTTTTCCATTTCGAGCGCTTGCTCCAACAATTGGATCATACAAGCATTATGTTCCCGAATCGGAGAGATACCGTAAACTTGGATCATCCGTGTGAAGTACCTCAAACCATCCTTTACATTCCCGGTATTTGCACAAGCCGATAAGACACCAACAAACGTGATAGCATCTGGTTCTACACTTGCTTCTTCTTCCATCTCTTCAAACAGATACAAAGCTTCTTCTCCACATCCATGTACTCCCAAACTAGTGATCATCGAATTCCAAGTTGCTAAACTCTTACTCTGCATTACATCAAAGACTTTCCTTGCATCCTGCAAGCTTCCACATTTGCTATACATATCGATCAAAGCGGTTCCAAGATAACAATCAAGCACAAAACCATTTTTATGAGCATAGTCATGAACCCATCTTCCCATAGACAAGCTTCCTAATTGAGTAGAAGCTTGCAACAAATTAACAATCGTAAACTCATTAGGCTTAACATCATCAACCTGCATTCTCCTAAAGAGCTGAAACGCCTCATCGGGTCTACGGTTCTTGACATAAGCAGTGATCATCGCAGTCCACGAAACAACGTTTCTCGTTGGCATTTGATTGAATACAATCTCTGCAGAATCTAACTGAGAATTAGATACAAGACCATAAAGCATAGTAGTCCATGAAACAATACTTCTCCCAGGCATTTTATCAAACACCTTACGTCCACAATCTGGTTTCCCACACTTAAAGTAAAGATCCATAAGAGTGTTTTGGAAGAACACATCATTAAAAAACCCAGCTTTAATAGCTAAACCATGAACTTGAGTTCCTAAACGAAGAGAAGAAGAAGCGAGACAAGCTTTGATAACAAAAGGGAAAGTGAATTTATCAAACTGAGGTTGATGAGAGAGCATAAGAATAAAGAGAAGAAGAGCTTCACGAGGCTTGTGATTGAGTGAGAGAGATCGTATCATAAGGTTCCAAGTAAACGTAGAAGGAGATTGAAGTTGATTAAAGACGAGAGAAGCGTACTGGGTTTCTCCGAAGGAAGAAGAAACACTTATGAGCTGACGAACTAGTAATTGATCGTTGGTGAGATTGTGTTTGATGATTTTGGTGTGAATTTGTTTCAATTGAGAGAAATTTGAACAAGTTCGGAGAAAGTAAGAAGCTTCGGGAGATCGGAATGGTGGAGGAGAGAGAAGGTTTGGTGGCGAAGACGGCGACGGAGCCGCCATTGATTAACGATAATCTCTCTCCCCTCGATTGATCGTCTGTGGATGGATGACGATGAAGCTAGGCGTCGACTTATAAACCGAACCGAACCATAACTTAATTTGACTATTTCGGTTTAGTGTTAAACCAATCGGCCAGAGTAATGAAATGCTTCGATAACCGGTTCGGTTCAGAACCAAATTATCGAAATTTCACGTAAGTTTAAGGAAATTAAATGGATATTACCAAAATTAAATCGAAGTTTTGAAATTTATGTTAATATTAACCGAAATTGAATCAATTACCGAACTAAACCGAAATGTACCAAAGTTAACCGAAATATCTTCGCACTTAAACGTCGTCGTTTAGTCGAATATATCCATTAGAAGAAGACGAAGCAGAGGAATCTAGGGTTTATGCTTTCATTAAAGCAAAGATGGTAACGAGCAGCGATCAAATCCAAAATGGTTCCGATGAGCAATCAAAAAGATCAGAGATTTACACATACGAAGCACCATGGCAGATCTACGCAATGAACTGGAGCATTCGTCGAGACAAGAAGTATCGACTCGCAATCACAAGCCTCATCGAGCAATATCCGAATCGAGTCGAAATTGTTCAGCTTGACGAATCAAATGGTGAGATTCAATCAGATCCAAATCTTTGCTTCGAGCATCCTTACCCACCAACGAAAACCAGTTTCATTCCCGATAAAGAATGTCAAAGTCCCGATCTTTTAGCTACTTCTAGTGATTTTCTTCGTTTATGGCGAATCTCTGATGATGAATCTCGTGTTGAGCTTAGGTCTTGTCTTAGTAGTGATAAGAATAATGAGTTTAGTGGTCCAATTACTTCATTTGATTGGAATGAAGCTGAGCCTAGACGAATTGGGACTTCTAGTATTGATACGACTTGTACTATTTGGGATATAGAGCGTGAAGTTGTTGATACTCAGCTTATTGCTCATGATAAAGAGGTTTATGACATTGCTTGGGGTGGAGTTGGTGTTTTCGCCTCTGTTTCAGAAGATGGTTCCGTTAGAGTGTTCGATCTCCGTGATAAGGAGCATTCGACGATTATCTATGAGAGTGGCGAGCCGAGTACTCCTTTGGTGCGGCTTAGTTGGAACAAGCAGGATCCGAGGTATATGGCTACTGTTATCATGGGCAGTGCTAAAATTGTGGTGTTGGATATTCGGTTTCCGGCTCTTCCTGTTGTGGAGCTTCAGCGACATCAGGCTAGTGTCAATGCTATAGCTTGGGCTCCTCATAGCTCTTCCCACATCTGCACTGCTGGAGATGATTCTCAGGCGTTGATTTGGGATATTTCTTCAATGGGACAGCATGTTGAAGGTGGTTTGGATCCGATTCTGGCTTACACAGCCGGCGCTGAGGTTGAGCAGCTGCAATGGTCTTCTTCCCAGCCTGATTGGGTTGCCATTGCCTTCTCTAACAAGCTGCAGATTCTCAGGGTCTGATTATGGTTTCCAGATTTCTGTCAAATGTAAAAGACTCTTCGCTGTTGTTGATCCTTTGATCTTTGACTTTAAGCCTCAATCCTCATTGAGTTTCTTCTCATAGTATGATCTGTACATGGACTATGTACCTTCAAAATTGTGAATAACTAGCTTTAGCTTTGGGTTTGATTACATAACGGAGAACATGAAAACATCAGCATTTATGTTTCTATGCCCTCGAGCTGTTGGAGTTGCAGGATTCTGAAGGCGTGTATGAAGGTAGTTTTTAACAGAGTAATTTGTCTGTCTCATCATTGTATGAAATGTGTAGATTTCTTTGTTAGTTGTTGTAAGCTTTGTCTCTGATGTCCATGCCATATTTGCAAAGATACTTAAACACTTTACGGGTGTGTAGAACTGCGAAATCAGGCATTAGCAACAGTAAGTACAGATGATGTTCATTACTTGACATCAACAAAGGGCTAAAGACTCTCTGTCCAACTGAAAAATGACTAGGAGAGCTTCTATCGGCATCTTTAGACTATGGCAAACAAGTTCTTTGTGATTACCAAAGCCCGCTTTCTTTAATCCTTTGGCGGAGTTTGGCCAGTAGAGACTTATAAGAACCTCTTCTCCAAAAGTCTGAACTTTGAAAGGCAGACAAATGAAGACCAGCCTTATCCTCCTTATATAACCGTGACCACACACACAAATGAAGAAGCCCAAATGAAAGGCCCAAAAATCTAAAAAGAGGTGAAGGAGAGACTTTGTGAATGTGTGATCATAGAAAGTTAGAAACATGAAGAGACAAGAGAGTGATAAAACCACAACCATAGAAACAAGTAAGAAAGCTATCCAGAATCTAATCTTATTTGCCTCCAAGTCATCAATTCTTTATCCTATATTACCAATCTCTGCTTCACCAATCCTTTTTGCTCTCTGTCTGCTACAACCTTAACTTGGATTCTTTCTGGTCACCATGGCTTCGCTTACTTTCTCTGTGCCCAAGGTACCTCCCTTCTTCTCCTTTATGGTTTCTCTAACACAAGCTAAGTAAATGTTGTGTTTTGTTTTCAGGGTTTCACTGAATTCTCAGGATTGCGAAGCTCCTCTGCTTCTCTTCCCTTTGGCAAGAAACTTTCTTCCGATGAGTTTGTTTCCATCGTATCCTTCCAGACTTCTGCAGTGAGTACTCTGTTTTCCTCCAACATTGTCTATAGCTTGCGTGTTGTGCCTTATGATGATCATCAACTGTATGAAATGTTTGCACCTATAAGCATGTCTATCGATAAATTCTGTGATCAGACTTTGATCGTTTGCATCTGTTTCTCGCGGTTTTTTAAACTATTTGGATGGTTGTTTTGTTCGTGTGCCAGATGGGAAGCAGTGGTGGATACAGGAAAGGTGTGACTGAGGCCAAGCTTAAGGTGGCCATCAATGGATTCGGTAGGATTGGGAGGAACTTCTTGAGATGTTGGCATGGTCGCAAAGACTCTCCTCTTGATATCATTGCCATTAATGACACTGGTGGCGTCAAGCAGGCTTCCCATCTCCTTAAATACGACTCTACTCTCGGAATCTTTGATGCTGATGTCAAACCTTCTGGAGAGACTGCAATCTCTGTTGATGGAAAGATCATCCAAGTTGTTTCTAACCGAAACCCGTCTCTTCTCCCCTGGAAGTAAGTTGAAAAAGTACTTATGTGATCAGTCTTTATCTTATGTCCTAGATAAGCATTTGAATTTGGATATGGTTGATATCTTAGGGAGTTAGGAATTGACATTGTCATCGAAGGAACCGGAGTGTTTGTTGATAGAGAAGGTGCAGGGAAACACATTGAAGCTGGAGCCAAGAAGGTTATCATTACCGCTCCAGGGAAAGGAGATATTCCAACTTACGTCGTTGGTGTCAATGCAGATGCTTACAGTCATGATGAACCAATCATCAGCAATGCATCTTGCACTACTAACTGTCTTGCTCCCTTTGTCAAAGTTCTTGACCAGAAATTTGGTATGCAACAGTTCCGCTTTCGCTTTTCGTGTTCTCTCACGGGATCAATAAAACGATTTTTAATGTGTTTGTTTGTAACACTTGCAGGTATCATAAAGGGTACAATGACGACTACTCACTCTTACACCGGTGACCAGAGGTTGCTAGACGCAAGTCACCGTGATCTAAGGAGAGCAAGAGCAGCTGCTTTGAACATTGTTCCTACATCTACAGGAGCAGCTAAAGCCGTGGCTCTTGTGCTCCCTAACCTCAAGGGAAAACTCAACGGAATCGCTCTCCGTGTACCTACACCAAATGTATCAGTCGTTGATCTCGTTGTGCAGGTCTCAAAGAAAACTTTTGCTGAGGAAGTTAACGCTGCTTTCAGAGATTCTGCTGAGAAAGAGCTTAAAGGTATACTCGATGTCTGCGATGAGCCACTAGTGTCAGTTGATTTCAGATGCTCAGATTATTCAACGACCATTGATTCATCACTCACTATGGTTATGGGAGATGATATGGTTAAGGTGATTGCTTGGTATGATAATGAATGGGGTTACTCACAGAGAGTTGTTGACTTGGCTGACATTGTTGCCAACAACTGGAAGTGAATGTAACTTTTGAAATCAACTTTGTTTCATGTTTTTCCATTTTTTCTCTTTTCTCTTTTTTTTTTTTACATTATGATTCTCAAAATATCGGTGAAGACTGTATAATTGTAGTCCTGAGTTATGGATTTGTAATAATAATAAACTATTCAAACTTGTTTACATTTTGTGTTTTATGAAACACTTTTATAGTGTAGCTTATGGCTTCTTGATTAGTTTGATATATTAAAGTTGGAAATTAAAGAGGGTCATTATATTTTAATTAGACGCAATCAGAAACAGAAATTTTATTGAGAAAGTGTTGATGAAACTGAGAGATATTACATAAAATCAGAATTATGGGTTTGGCTAAGTTTGGTTTGAGCAACAGCAATCTCAGCTTGAGTTTTGGCCAACTGATTCTGAGTTTGCTGAATTTGAGTTTGAAGTAAATGAATAATGCCAACACAACCATAAACAGGATCATCTACTCTGCATTTTGCTTCAAAGCACAAAGATTCCGCTGCTTCAGCTCTTGTCTGATCAGGAAGTTGCTGTCAAAAAAGGATCACCAAAATCCAACCATGAATACTTACTTATATATATGCATAAACGTGATCTTATATAGGATTTTAGAATAGATGATACACTAAAAGATGTGTAGATATAAATACCTGAAGCATTTTGGAAACATTACCAGCACCATAGATTCTGTGGATGCATGCAAATTTTGCAGGATCGTTTGGAGGGAAATATGGTGAGAAAATGCAATCTTTTGGACATCTTCTTCTCAGATATTTGCAAGCTGCACATCTTTTTGGATTCATCTCAGATTTTCTCAGAAAACAAATATAAAGAAAGAACACAAAAGATTGTGAAATCTTAGACAAAGATTTGGCTATTTGTATCCCTTTTCGTTTCCTTTCTTTTCCAATTAATCCAACGGCTACTTTCCAGTTTCAGAATTCTGAGAACATTTACTTAAGGTAACACTATTTATGTTGATTCTCATTGAGACTAATTACACTAATATTACCGTTAGTATTACTGTTATGGCAATATTCATGTTGTGTAATTCTCTTTAGAGAAAATAAATTGCAGTGGGACAGAGTGGAGGAATTTGGCTTTTATGGAGGTCTGGTTTCGGCGACGGTGAGGTTGTGTCGAGTTCCACACAGTTCATACATGCCAAAGTGAAGACAGATACTGAGTGTATCCGATTAATTGTTGTTTACGCTGCCCCGTCTGTGACCCGAAGATGTGGTTTGTGGGACGAGCTGCGGAACACGTTGCAAAATGTAACAGATCCAGTGATAATTGGAGGAGATTTTAACACAATTGTCCGCCTGGATGAGAGAACAGGGGGCAATGGATGTTTGTCGCCGGATTCAATTGCTTTTGGTGATTGGATAAATGATTTATCCTTGATTGATATGGGGTATAAAGGGAACAAGTTCACTTGGAAGAGAGGGAGAGAGGAAAGAAATTTTGTTGCTAAGAGATTGGATAGGGTACTCTGTTGTGCGAGTACAAGACTGAGATGGCAAGAAGCTATTGTGACGCATCTCCCATTTCTATCTTCTGATCACACACCATTATTTATTCAGTTAGCCCCCGAAGCGAAAGGAAACCCAAGTAGAAGACCGTTTCGCTTCGAAGCCGCATGGCTGCAGCATGAGAGTTTTAAGGAATTGCTAGTAGCTTCTTGGAGTAATGACTTGTCAACTCCGGTTGCTTTAAGCAGGTTGAAAGAACAGCTCAAAAGGTGGAATAAGGAAGTGTTTGGAGATGTTCAAAAGAAGAAGGAGAAGCTGATGCATGAGATCAAGTGCATTCAAGATCAGTTAGACATCCACCAGACAGACGCCTTACTTGCTACGGAGGGAGAGCTGATTAAGGAGTTTGATGTGGTACTAGAGCAAGAAGAGATGATATGGTATCAGAAATCACGGGAAAAGTGGATAGCTTTTGGAGATCGAAATACAACATATTTTCACACATCCACAATAATCCGACGACGGCGAAATCGGATTGAAATGCTGAGAGCGGATGATGGGAGATGGGTTTCAGATGCTCACGAATTAGAGACATTAGCAGTAGATTATTACAAAAGGCTGTACTCGATGGTTGATGTAGATCAAGATGTCCCGCAGCTCCCGCAGGCAGGATTTGCGCAGATTACAGAATCTGACTTGACTGAGCTAAATAAGTCGTTTACACCAATGGAAGTAGAACGGTCTATACGAAGCATGGGAAAGTATAAGGCGCCAGGCCCGGATGGCTTTCAACCAGTCTTTTATCAGGAGTGTTGGGATGTGGTTGGGTCTTCAGTGGTGCAGTTTGTTCTGAACTTTTTTGAAACAGGAGAAATGCCGGCTGGAATGAATGATGCATTGGTAGTACTGATTGCTAAGGTGACAAAGCCGGAGAGAATAATGCAATTTAGACCAATAAGCTTGTGTAATGTCTTATTTAAGACAGTTACCAAAGCCATGGTTCTGCGTTTAAAGCGTGTGATGCCTTTGTTAATTGGACCGGCTCAAGCTAGTTTTATCCCGGGAAGACTTAGTACGGATAATATACTGATTGTCCAAGAAGCGGTTCATTCGATGAAAAGGAAGAAAGGTATGCAGGGTCGGATGTTACTTAAGCTGGATTTGGAGAAAGCTTATGATAGAATACGGTGGGATTTTCTTAAAGAAACTCTACAAGCAGCCAGGCTTCCGGATAATTGGATTGAATGGATTATGAAATGTGTAACTGGTCCGTCTATGAGTCTTCTATGGAATGGGGAAAAGACTGAAGAATTTAAGCCATCGAGAGGGCTTCGTCAAGGTGACCCATTGTCACCCTACCTCTTTGTTCTATGTCTTGAGAGACTTTGTCATCTAATTACGGAAGCTGTTGGTTTGAAGAAGTGGAAACCAATTAGCTTATCGAGGGGAGGGCCGAAGTTGTCTCACATATGTTTTGCGGATGATCTCATTTTGTTTGCGGAGGCTTCGGTAACATAAATAAGAGTCATTCGGCGGGTCTTGGAGCGATTTTGTGTAGCTTCCGGCCAAAAGGTGAGTCTTGAAAAGTCAAAAGTTTTCTTTTCTGACAATGTGAGTCGAGACCTATCGAAGCTTATTGTTGATGAAAGCGGAATCAAGTCCACAAGAGATCTTGGTAAGTATTTGGGTATGCCGGTTTTGCAGAAGCGATTGAACAAGGATACGTTTGGAGATGTGGTTGAAAGAGTGTCAACACGGTTATCAGGTTGGAAGGGACGGGTTTTGAGCCTTGCGGGTAGAATTACTTTGGCTAAAGCTGTCATACAAGCCATACCAATCCACTCTATGAGCACGATTTGTATGCCTAAGTCCACATTGGCAAGACTGGACAAGGTCTCTAGGAATTTTGTTTGGGGAAGCACAAGAGAAAAAAAGAAACAACATCTTATGTCCTGGAAGAGGCTGTGTAAGCCAAAAGCTGAAGGTGGTCTGGGGTTTAGAGCGGCGGAAGCTATGAACAAAGCTTTGGTAGCTAAAATTGGTTGGCGGATTATCAAGGAGAATACGGGGCTGTGGGCACGGGTGCTGCGAAGTAAATATAAAGTCGGGGATGTTTTTGATACTTCGTGGACCGCGGTGAAAAGTAATTGGTCCTCGACTTGGAGAAGTGTGGGAAGTGGTTTACGGGATGTGGTGTTGCCAGGAATGAGCTGGGTTCTTGGAGATGGGAGATGCATAAAGTTTTGGAAGGATAATTGGTTATTAAAAGATTCACTCAGGGATTGGTCTACGAGTGATGTGCCTCCGGAGTTGGTGGATCTAACAGTGCGAGACTTATGGATTGATGGCATTGGCTGGGATTGGGTACGAATCACACCGTGGGTCTCGCAATATGTCAGGTTGAATTTATCGGCGGTGGTCGTGGATACAGTGACTGGTGCAAAGGATAGGGTCGCATGGGGGTGGTCTCCGGAGGGCAAATTCTCAGTCAAGTCAGCTTATTCATTCTTGACTAGGGATACGTCTCCGAGACCAAACATGGAGACACTGTTTAAAAAGGTTTGGGGACTAATGGTTCCGGAAAGGGTGCGTGTCTTCTTCTGGTTAGCAGTAAACCAAGTGATCATGACCGATGAGGAGAGGAGACGGCGGCACTTGTGTGCATCTGGTATTTGTCAGGTTTGCAAGGGTGGTGTAGAAACAATATTACATGTCCTACGTGATTGCCCCGCGATGTCGGGTATTTGGGACCGCATTGTTCCAGCGAGTAAGAGGCGGGTTTTCTTTGATCAGTCCTTACTTGAATGGATTAATGGTAATATCATTGATGTTACAATGAGGGATGGCACACCGTGGGCTATACTCTTTGGTATGGCAGCTTGGTGGGGGTGGAAGTGGAGGTGTGGGAATGTTTTTGGTGAAAATGGGAAGTGCCGGGATAGAGTTCGATTTGTGAGGGATCTAGCCAAAGAGGTTTATCAAGCGTGGTGCTTTAGTGATGGCGGGACAGAGCAAAGTACACGGGTTGATAGGATGATTGGTTGGTTTCCTCCGTCGGTTGGCTGGGTCAAACTGAACACGGATGGTGCCTCACGCGGTAATCCAGGTTTGGCAACAGCGGGTGGAGTTATCAGGGATGGAGAGGGCCAATGGATTCAGGGATTCACCTTGAATATTGGTTTCTGCTCGGCACCGTTAGCGGAGCTATGGGGAGTATATTATGGGCTTTACTTAGCTTGGGACAAGCGGATTGCAAGGTTGGAGTTGGAAGTGGATTCGGAGACGGTGGTAGGGTTCCTAACGACGGGGATAAGTGATACTCATCCTTTGTCCTTCCTAGTACGACTGTGCTATGGCTTTCTTCAAAAGGACTGGTTAGTCCGTATATCACATGTGTATAGGGAGGCTAATCATCTTGCTGATGGGTTAGCGAACTATGCATTTGATCGACCTTTGGGCTTGCAGCTGTTGGACTCATGCCCGGAGAGTGTTTCTTCTGTTTTGTTAGACGATGCTCGTGGGTCTTCCTGGCCGCGGAGTGTTCGATTGTAATTTCTTTTTTCTTATGTTTTTAATAAATTAGGGGAGGCATTGCCTCCCCCATTCCTACCAAAAAAAAAAACTGTCTCGCTCCCTTTATCAAAGTTCTGGATCAGAAAATTTGGTATTCCCTTCCATAGTTCCGCTTCCACTTTCGTCCTCTCGGATCAATGAAACGGTATTTAATGTGGTTGTAATATTTGCAGGTATCATAAAGGGTTCAATGACGAATACTCGTCTTTAGATCGGTGACCAGAGGTTGTTAGACGTTTATTATCGAGCTCTAAGGAGAGCAAGCACAGCTGTTTACATTATGATTTTCAAAATATTGGCCGAGACTGTATAATTATATACCTGAGGTATGGATTTGTAATAACAATAAACTCGATTCAAACTTGGTTACATTTTGTGCATTATGAAACACTTTTCACAGGTCTCAAACAAAAAAATGAATATACAGAGATGTTATGTAATACAATTTGGTTCTTACAAGAATACACAATCGTGGGATGGTTTCCTAAGAACAGATTTTGCTACTAAAGCCATATATGATAAGAGAAGAATGTACATGAGATTCTGTCTCATGCTATCCGTTTTAACTACCTACTTAAGCCTTTGAAGACATGGTCTTTTCAAGCATTCTTGTTCCTTCTTCTTCCATGGCTAGTTTGCTCCATCCTGACCCTCTCATGGACAAAATCTTAGCCCGTTCGAGTCCATTTCCTCTAAACCCTGTAATCTTCGAAGATACCATTGGCATCACGAGAATCGCAGATGCATTTATAGAGTCTTCGCCAAAGCCCAATGCTGCTAAACAAGCAGCCTGCAACACAATGAAGTAAAGAGTTTTAACTAGTACTTTTGAATAAGCTCACAAATGAAGATGCTTTTGCTAGTGGGTACCTTTGTCTTGGCAATTAAATCAGCTGCTTTCATATACATTCCTTGTACAACTACTCTTGTGTCTTTGCTGTGTCCATCTTCAGATGATTGTGGCATCAACCTGTTTTTAAAGATCAAAATGGTTATAGTAGCTAATTCATGAAAAATTTCTGAATTTCTAATGAGAACACGTTTTTTACCTGTCCTCCTCAGTTGGCACACTCGAGGACACGATGGAGTCAAGAGATGATGAATTATCTCTTGTCTCATTGCCTCTTGTATCATCAGGTGCTAGTAAAGAAATGCCTATGAATACACACATCATTCCTAATATGAACATTGTTGTTCTCAGTGCATCGAAAACCTGTTTAAGGAAGAAGAAAATTATCTAAGCCTAAACCCACACCATTCTGTGACAAAATGATCAAACTAATCATCTAGATCCGTTTTAGCCCGAAGATAAAGAATGAGAGGAAAAACATCACGATGTAGTTAATAGATGAACCTGAAACTCTTGAAAGTAGATGAATCCTGTACAAATGGAGAAGAAAGTCCAAGCAATCTGAAACATCGGAACTATGAGAATTGCATCATATAGAGACAATCCTTCATTCAATCTTGTCATCTGCAACAGAAGCACATGAAAGACCTTTTTACTTCAGTAACTTTATCGTCTCAACGGCACAACGAAGCACCAAAAATTTCAGTAGCTTTACGGTTTTTACCCAGAATCCGGCTGTACTAAGAAATAAAAGAAGCATAGAGTATGTGAACCAGCTGTGCAATTGATAGCTACTAGACATGGCCAACCTCAGCAAGTTTGAGCTGCAAAATGAAACTCAAATTTAGCACCTGAAACTCTCTGATTTTCAAGTAAAGCCACTAGATTTGCAAACTCACAGTGACTTGGCAAATAATACCGAACATGATCCTATAGCACCCGAGACCACAGCATATGAGAAAGGAAGCAGCATTTTCCAATAGGAGCTGATTTCTTGTCCAGGTATAGATATCAAAACTTCTCCCTTCCTGAATATTTCGATTAAACTGATCACAAAAGAGGTCCGATAGTTGAAAAATAGTCGAGGAACAATTTCAAATGCAGGACTCACCTATAGAGGAAATGGTGCACGGCTACTATTAAAATCAAAATACCACAGTAGACCAAGAATGTTACATTGCTATATTTCTCTGCCAACTGTTCGGGTGTGAAAACTGAGGACAGAAGACTTCCATTAGGTCACGCTTCGTGAAAAAAAAGATAGACCAATCTGTTCAAGAACAGTTACCTGGTGACTGGTGATTACCAAAAGCAACAAGGAAAACGTTTCCAAGAACTATAAAGGCTGTAGCAACGAGTACTCTGTGACCAAGGCATACCAAATATATTAGAGGAGCAGAGACTTAGTAAATCGGTAATGCATGTTAAAGATTGCAGCGAGGTTGTTTGCATACTTGACAGTCACCATTTTGTTCAATACAACATAGGCAAATGCTATGTTAGATACAAATTGAATAGATCCAAGAGCTGCTAGAAGGGACTGCAAAGAGAGTGCGTAAAGGTAAGAAAACCAAAGAGAAACCAAAGAAATCTGAAAAATCGCGCAAGTAGGCAGTGTCGAGCAGATCATTTTACCTGAGCAGCATAACCAAAAGAAATGAAATTGAGGCAATTCCCAAGAAGAAAGACAAGAATCCCTGTAAAGATTCAAACAACATTGGACACAGAACTAGCTTCATAAAAACTTGCTAAGGGGAAAAAGTTTAAGACCAGAGCATACCAACTCTCCAAGTCTGAAAATGTATAATTGGCTTCAATGGCATCTTTCCTCCGCCATCTTGTAGAGCTAACCTTTCTCTCTGATAATACACAAAGTAAGAAAATACGCTTCACGTGACGAGATTAAATGTAATCAAACAGTAGTGGGGCTGAGGCAAATGCAGACCTCATTATGTCCCAATTTGAGAAGGTTTGTGCCAAAATTAATAGCAACACTTCCAAAAATGTTGATGAAAGCTCCGATGACCCACTCTCCCATTGGTAATTAAAGAATGAAGATGGCTTAGTTAAAGGATCATCTAAAGCTGCAAACTTGAAGCAATCAACTAGCTCAGGCCCTCATTTAAAATCTTAGCCTTCAAAATCTACAAGAGAAGAAGCATAAAACCTAAGAATGGCTATTTCATGGTTATTGCAAACACAAGCTTGTAGCTTTAACAAGGCAATAAAGAGAAACCCCTTCCCAAAATTGAATCCAATTGAAACAGAGATCAAATGGACAAAATTGAAACAAGGGTTTTCGGAGATTACCTGCGAAGAGACGATAGAGGAGCTTCAGATCCAGATCGACTCTAACAAAAGATGCAGATTGATTACAAGTCCTCTCCCAAACAAAGAAAACAAACAAAAAAAAAAAAACAATTTTTTTCCTTTATGAGATTTAAGCTTTACCAAACAAAATGGCGTCGAATAAAAGGAAGAAGAATAAAAATTGGATCTTTCCCCAAAAAATTGAAAATTCTAAAAGTTTTGATTTTTCGTAAGGAAGACCCAATCGCCGATAAAGCTTCAAGACGACGGTGACGGGAGACGACGACGATGGCGATTTTGGATGATAAAAATGACGTAGTGGTTGGGCCCTTTTGTGTTGTTAAATCTGTCTTCTTGCTGCTCCTCACGTTTTGTTTTGGGCTTTTTACCATTTTTACTCTCTTCTCTATTCTCTCTCTCGTTGAGAGACACTCAATGGCCAAATAGCAACCTTTGGTGGGCGGGTAAAAGTTGACTCTTTTGACCTTTCATTTTCATTGAATCTCTCTGGAGAAAAAATGGATTTTTCTGATGAAGAAGACGAAGACTGGTTTGGTTCTCGTTTCAACGACGGTGTTAATGAAGAAGAAGAAGAGGGTTTTGTGTTTTACGACGATGTTGGAGAAAATGAAGAAGAGGAGGGTTTTGCGTCTGATTTCTATAAGGCTGGTTCTGATTGGTCTTGTTTGGTGGAAGATGAAGAGACTGTTTGTTCTTCTGAGAAGAATAAGAAGATGAAACAAGCGAACTTGTTTCAGATTTGGGGTTTACAGGAGAATTCTCCTGATACAACGAAGAAGATGAAACAAACTGATTTGTTTCAGAGTTGGGGTTTGCAAAAGCCTTCTCCCTTCACTTCCCCTGCTTCGAATTCGTCGAAAAAGACGACGAGTGCTCTTGGAAAGAGACGTAGAGACTCTTCGTTTGGCAATGACTCACCACGACCATGTCCTTTTTACAAGAAACTTCCAGGTCTCTCTCTCTTTTTCATTGCATTCATATACATAAATGTGCTTCTCTCTTTGCCAATTTCATGAAGTTTATTTGATTATGTGTAGGAACACCGTTTACTGTGGATGCTTTTCGTTATGGTTGTGTTCAAGGATGTTCTGCTTATTTCCTTACTCATTTTCACGCTGATCATTACATTGGTCTCACTAAAGCTTGGTCTCATGGTCCTATTTACTGCTCCTCTCTCACTAGTCGTCTTCTTAGACTTAGTCTCTCTGTCGATCCCTCGTAAGCTTTATGTTAATGCTATCTATGTCTAAGGACTTGCTTCTTCAAATTGGTGTATTGAGTGTCTGTGTGGTGAATTCTGTGTGTAGGTTTATTCATCCATTGGAGCTAGATGTTGAATACACTATTAATGGGATTAAAGTCACTTTAATTGAAGCTAATCATTGCCCTGGTGCTGCTCTTATTCACTTTCGGCTCTTAGATGGAACGTGTTATCTGCATACTGGAGATTTCAGGGCTTCTAAAAAGATGCAAACGCATCCTCTCCTCTTTAACCAACGAGTTCATGTTCTGTATTTGGATACAACATATTGCAATCCGAGATACAAGTGAGAGCAAGAATTTTTCAAATAGAACTTATGATGGATTTGATGGAGCGTGCTCGTAATGTTTGTTCCAACGTTTTTCATGGTTTTGTTTAGATTCCCCTCTAAAGAAGATGTGTTAAGTTATGTTGTGAGAATCACAAAGGATTTCCTCAGGAAGCAACCGAAGACTCTGATTGTGGTTGGTTCTTATAGCATCGGAAAAGAATGTGTTTATCTTGCTATTGCCAAAGCTCTTGGGGTAAAAAAAATTGCTGGCATTCTCTTTCCGTTTTAGCCATCTTTTCTGGAATTGTATTTTCTAACTTTGTGGGTTTTTCAGGTTAAGATATTTGCAAATGCTTCAAGAAGACGGATACTGCAATCTTTTGGTTGGGATGATATTTCGAAGAATCTTTCTACAGATGGGAAAGCAACATGTCTTCACGTTCTGCCTATGTCATCACTGAAAGTTGAAGTATTTCTCTAAAACCTTAAGTATTCTTACATAGCTTCTCCATGTCAGCCTCTCATAATCTTATCTATGTGCTGATAACTTCTCTGAAGAGACTCGACGAACACTTGAAAGTTTATAGAGAACAGTATGGAGCAGTTTTGGCATTTAGGCCCACAGGTGAATTGTTTGCCTTGCTGTTCTATTTAAAGGTTTTTTAAAAAACTATTGGTAAGAAAAGTAAAGTTCATTTTCAGGTTGGACTTACTCCGAGAAGATAGGTGAACACCTTGATCTGATAAAACCAACTTGTAAGGGGAAAATCACCATTTATGGTAAGTTTGATTTTTGTAATGCACATTCTCTAGCAGCTTCAATGATATAATAAGCCCATTGCTCTAAGTATCATCGTGATATTATGATGACTCGTGGAGGCCGATTTGTCTGACTGTCGGTGATTATGTATCTTTCTAGGGGTTCCATATAGTGAGCATTCAAGCTTCACAGAACTTCGTGAGTTTGTTCAAGTATGTACTAGGAATGTTGATCATTTTATCTGTCCTGGATAAGTTTTACACTTCTTTTAGCATTAACTGATTTTGTGACGACGCAGTTTTTAAGGCCAGATAAGATTATTCCTACGGTGAACAATGCAAATGCTGGAACTCGTGAGAAAATGCAATCATGTTTCAGAGAATGGCTCAGACGCTGAGATTCAACTCTAGGTTGATGGATGATATTGCTTCCTATTAGTAAGAAAATCAATGGTTTGGGCCGTTCTATTTCTAATACTTTTTCCTTTCTCTGCAGTTTCTGAATCCCAATATGTTGATCATTGAAGCTTTTAAGGGAGGCTTGGTGCTTCTGTAAGATTTTGATATTGCAGTTGGTGAATACAGTAGAACTGAAGCACTTGAAGGATTCATAATATTCTTTGATCCAGAGGTTTTATTCTTCTCTTATACTAATCAAGTATATCTTCAAGTGGCTAATTCGATTAGTTATGAGGGTTGGGAAAGAGAAGAGTTCAAAGAGTAGACAATGCAAAGAGAGAATAAGGTAACCAAATCAGATACAAGAAGAGGGAGATTCAGAATCTGAAGATAAAGGATTGCCATTAACTTCATTGCAAAACTTGAATAGAGAACTCCGAAGATGGTTTCTATTGTAGTCATATTCAAAGCAATTAGCTTCATCTTACTTATCTCAGAAAGTTGCAAACGCCATAGCCGATAAGGCAATTTCCTTCCCCTATTTATGAGGTTATTCTTGAGAAGGATAAACATTGAACTTTGTACAGCTGAGATAAGCAGAGATGGGGTTGTTTGGATTCAGGGGATCCTTTAGCTTCCTACAAAACGTGAATGCAGTTAGTTTTTTTTTGTGTATTGTTTACTAACAAACATTAACTCTCAGCACTTTAATGGATTCAATTACAGTTACTATTAGTCAGTTTGCAGCCTTTATCTATCTATCATCTTAAGATTCTTAACTGTTATTCTACAACATGAAAGAATCTACAAATCTCACATGGAGTGAATTAGATAGTTGACAAATTCTATAGACAAGCCACTTTTCTCCCATTTTTTCTGGTGTAGAGCTGCGATCATTGGGGGATTCTTCATTATTAAAGCAGATTAAAATGTAATGTGGGTGCAGCTTGGAAGAATGATTTGAATACAAGTGGCATAGGTTGGGTTTTGAGAGTTGAGATAGGAGATATATGATGCTTTGGTGCTAAAAAGCCTTCCCTCATCGAGAACTTATTCAAGCAGTATCACAACCATAGGAATGAACGAGATTGCGAAGCTTTACACAAGAGATTGGTACTCAAGTGAGCAGGAATCTAAGCATCTTTACTTTCATCGGGAGATTAGCATTGGTCTATGAGTCCTAAAATCTGTTGGTTGTTTCAGAGAGCATCTAAAACAATGGATCCTCTGAATTATCTTTTTACTTTTGAGAAACCAATTAATCACAAGGTCTGAAATCATTTGCTTCTCAACTTTGTTTACAGAAGAAGTCTTTCAAGATGAATATATAACAATTGACAAGTTTGATATGCCTAGAGAAACCAAACTAGTTAGACTACAAAGCAGTACCAAGGATCAATTTGACGCTCTCCTCGATTTGAAATGCTGGAAATGGAAAGAGAGTCTTCCTTTGTGGTTCCTTCTTCTGCCATTACTCTTAGAAACTCTTCAAGAGCGCTCTGCATCCACTCATACCGACACAGTTCCAAAGCTTCTTTAACATTCAGCTGTGGCATTTACACAAACCCTTATCAGTCATTCATTCATATAACATATCTACTTTCCTCGCGGTTATCAAAAGCAAAGATTTGCGGTTTTACCCATCTCCTCTCGCGGTTATCTTGCTCTGGCCATGTAGCAAGTTCTTCCTTAACCTCTAACGCAAACATATAACCTTTGCATCCACCACCTAAGCAGCAATCAGCTTCCAAACTACTACTCTTGCTTCTAAATTCCCAAACTCCTAATGGATCTTCCTACATAACACACCAAAATACAATCCAATCTTAAAATCTATACAAGAACTTTCGAATAACGAATGACCGTGGAAACTTACTCTTAGTATTCCTTTAACTCCTGCTTCTTCCATAGCTTCACGAGAAGCAGCTTCAAGAACAGTTTCATCATCTTCCCATCCTCCCTAAACAAAACACACAAGTAAAAGATTTCATACAATAGCACTTTGCATTATAGTTTCAAGAATTTAAAGGAAAAGAAATACCTTAGGGAAGACAAGATCGTGTCGATTGGGAGATGAAATCATAAGAACTTGAAGCTTGTTTTCAAAGTCAACACTTGTTGAGTCCTCTTCTTCATCTTTCACCAGCCTATACGGAATGCATCTGTCATATCCCAATAATGGTTTGGATTAAAAAAGAACCAAACCAATAAAATATCAAATCAAGAAAGATTCAAGCTTTAAGGTCAACGACATGAAAGTGAAAGGAGATGTAAAAAAATGATGAAAAGGATTTAGTACCCAGAAACAAGACGGAAGTTGTTGTCATAACGTTGATGGTCTCGTCCTGTTCTTGCTGAAAGATTCGACATTTTTCTGTAAGATTGAATAAATCGAGAGAAAAAAAACAGAGAGGGAGTTACGGTGAAAATGCAGGTCCTAAGCTTTGAAAAAATCGTGTCTTTGTTTGTTGGTGTCAGCAAGAAACATCATCAAAGCTTGCATCCATGGCGAATCATCTTCTTGTTTCAAAAAAAAAAAATTATAATTTACCCAGAAGAACTAAAGAACCGATAACAGGTGAAACACAACCAAAAGCAAAACAAGAAAAATGGAAAAAGAAAGGAACGGTTTTGGTTTGTTGGCCCATACAGAGGAAGAAGGCAAAAGATGAGGTTTTTCCGGGGACAAAGTTAAGAGAGTCAGCTGACGAAGCAGAGCTTTTTTTATTTATTAGAAAAAAATGAATTGTTTACATTTTCGAAAACAGTGTTACCAACATTTTATTAGGAAAAATATTTTAAATTATGATATAATGAAACATTTTGGATTGTTTAATTTAGATTAAATCGAACAGAAAAAATAATATCAATCAGAAGGCGGGTTATAGCAGTAATTGTTTTTTTTTTTTTTTTTTTTGATATTTCTGGATCGACAAAGTTCGATCCATAGCCAAAATGCTACTATGCGGGGTAACGAGATTTAGTGGAATCGAACTCTGGTGAGAAAGACGGAGTCAAATGGACTTAACCACTTGACTAAAGGCACATCTCCAACGACATTAGTTACATATTAAAGATTGGCGAAATGAAAACTTTGAACAATGAGTTAGTTGGATCGATCTTATATGTTTATGGTACGTGACGAAAGAATAAGATTTACATTACTAAAAAAAAAATTGAACCAAAATCTGAATTGAATACCTCTACTTCTCTAGCTACGAATTCAAAAACTTAAGCAACAAGTAGGGATGAAAGAGACCAAGCACCAAACTAAACCAGGTTGACCCGGTTTGATTTGTTGATATCTTGGTTTTTTAGTAGCTTACCATAAAGGTTAAACCACAAACAAATCCAAAGATACTGAATAAGCCCAATAAATTGGCTAGATAGCCCATTAAGTTTCATTGTATGTAGAACGAATGTCCCATTTGATCAACAAAAAAAAAAACAACTTACTGGGCCTAAAATGGGCCTTTAAAATCGAGCTAGACGGTTGGTGCAGAAGACTATGATTGATTTGATTTTTTGAGTCACTTTTTCAATCATTTCCGATTTGTATGATTTATTCATGATGATGACCACGACCGCCGTTTCAATCATTGGTCTAATATTCCGAAATTCTCTAATTTTAAAAATGAAATAAAAAAAAAGTTTGAAAAAAAAGAAGAGAATAAAAAAAAAGTCAAGAGAAACGTTAAAACGCAGATTGAAACAAAACATAGAAAAACGCGACGCAGATCGTGGAAATGTGAGTTTTTGAAAAGTTAGCGTCAGAGAGAAGAAGCAAATGTATGTCGATACAGCTGGATTACGACCCCACCATTTTTACACTGTCGATGTGAGAAGAATTGTGGTCCTATATAATTATTTAATTTTGTTAAAAGTGAGTTTGTTGAATATTTTATGAATGTTTGTTCGCTGGATAATCTATTTGTCATTAATAACCACAAAAGGGTAATTATTTAATTTGCTTTCTAATAGTACTAGTTAAAACTACAGTTCTTTTTGCTATTATTGTTGGTGTATTTATGTTTTAATTAGTAGCAGTCTAAGATGTCCAAAAACTAAAATAAAAAAAAAATTAATAGCAGCAGATGTGAGTCATGTGACATCTAAACTATAAGAAACATGAACACTAGTATGAAAGATAATTAAATATTCTGCTTTGATTTATAACATTTTTAAATTATAATTTTGTATCAAAACGGTGAAATTATAAAATAATAATTTTTGATTGAACTAAAAAATTGTATTAATATAAACGCTCGATTTAGTAAAAAGAAGTATGATTAATAAATTGACTCATATTTTTAAGAACATAGAATGAACAAATCAATTGATAAGAACATAGTGTTATAACAAGTTTAAGCTCTTTTCCCTAAACCGAATACTATGCTAATATTTCACATATTGCAAATAAAAATCTTAAACTAAATGTAAATCTATGACATGACATAATCCTTTCTTTTATGTAATAAACATTAGAATAATAAGATAGTGCACAAAAAGCTGTGATTCCAATATAATTATGTGACTGATTGACTCAAAAAAAAACATATGAACTCTATAAAATTCTGTAGTTATGAATCCCATCTATCATTGGTTGCTTATTAATTTATGAGAAGAAAAAAAATTATAGAAAAACAAATAATTTTTTTTTTTTTTGGTAGTCTTAATATTCAGGTACGCATTTATTAAAGTAATAAAATAACCCATTTTAAGGACAAAAGAAAAACATACGAAAAAAAGAAAAAAAAGAAAAAAACAGAGAGATTTGCGGAGTAAAATAAAAAAAAAGGAGAAGAAGGCAGAGACAGAGTGGTGGTCTTGTTCTTCTTCTTTTAAAACTTGCGGCGGCGGAAACTGCGTTTCACGGCGGTCTTAGTTTCTTCTTTCTTTGAAAAAATAATAAAAAAGTTTGCTTTCGCTGTAATTGCAAACTGGCGAAGTACCCCACTTGCTTCTACTCTTGTCTTCAAAGGTTCTCTTTTTATTCCTTCTTTTTTTTTTCTCAAATTAAACAAATGGGTTTGGTGGTTGCACAAGAGTAATAACTAACCAAAGTAAAAAGCTTGATTCTTGTTGTTGTTGTTGCTGTTGATTCTTAGTTAAGTAAGTAAAATTTTCAGTGAGAGTCTTAAGAGAGAGAGAGTTGTTGTCTGAAACGATGTCACTTTCTGTCGGCATTGTCTGCGTTCCGACACAAGACTTGATTTCTTCTTCTTCTTACCCTTTACCTTCGAGTTCTAGAAGAAACTGCGGCGGTTTGATTTGATGTTTCATTGCTCTTCTTCTTCTTCTTCTTCTTGATAATCCCTTTTCCATTTTCACACAAAGCTTCTGATTAGAAAAAGAATTTGATTTCTTGAATCTGCCGATTTTAAGGAATGTGGGGAATCACGTCATCGATTGTTGAATTTTTGTGATATTTAATCGCCGATGAAGTTGAGATTTTCTGGAGATCTGTCAAGGTTTTTAAAAATCTTATATTTTACTTACTACTGCATGTTGATTGCTTGATTTTCACTAAAGAATCTTTATTCAATTTTTACAAAGTTGACAACTTTTTTTTTTTTTTAACCTCTTAAGCTCTGTTTGTTTTTAAAATTGTCTCTTCTTCTTCTTCTTCTTCTTTTTTTTTTTCTTTTCGCCGACATTCTTGTTTTATTCTTTCTTTTTTTTTTCTCCAGGGTTATCGCATGGTAGTAGTAGCTTGGAGCATCGGTGAGAAAAAGAGAAAGAGAGAGAGGGGCTGTTTTGTTTTCCAAATGTCAGCAATTCTTGCAGCTGCCATTGGTGGTGCTGTAGGAGCTCTTGCATTGATTGCTTTGTTTGTTTTTCTCCTTTGGTTTTGTGTCTTTCGTCGTAAGAATCTGTCAAGAACTTCTGAGACTGGCTCTTCTGATCCATCTACTCAAGGTAAATGTACAAATCACAAATCCCATCAATTCAATTCCTCTCTCTCTCTCTCTCTCTCTCTCTCTATTGACTTTCTTGGATGATAGCAAAATGATTTAGACTTTTTGCTTATTTCAGAAGGAAGAAATGTTGCAATTGAGTTATCAATGAGAGAAGCTAGAAGATTTGAAATGGAGGAACTTGCTCAAGCCACAAAGAGTTTTACCAATAAAAGTCTTATTGGTATTGGCAAATTCGGCGAGGTTTACAAAGGTTTGCTTCAAGATGGTGTTCTTGTAGCTATCAAGAAAAGACCTGGTTTGCCTACACAAGAATTCGTTAACGAGGTTTCTATAAATAAATCTTGTTCAAATGGTTGCTTATAGTCTTAGAGCAAGTGTTTTGATTGAGAGGATATGGTTTTTTTCAGGTTCGTTACCTATCATCTATCCATCACCGTAATCTTGTTACTCTTTTGGGGTTTTGCCAAGAAAGTAACACACAGTTTCTTGTCTACGAGTATGTTCCTAATGGAAGTGTTTCCAGTCACCTGTACGGTAACTCTCTGTCCTTAATAATAGAGATTAATGTTGTTCTCATTTGGTATTTAATCAGTTTGAGAAATGAGTTTGGACAATGTAAGCATCATTTAGGTCTTTTCCTCTATTAGGTGCTGGTGGTAAAGTACCTGGAAATAGACTAGAATTCAGACATAGGCTTGCAATATCTATAGGAGCTGCTAAAGGTAAATCCTCTGCAAAAGCTCATTGAAGCCAGCTCTAGCTTGTATCCTGATCTTGCATATACCCTTTTGTTATCTCTAGGCTTGGCACATCTTCACTCGTTGAGTCCTCGATTGATACACAAGGACTTCAAAACCGCTAATGTTCTGGTGGATGAAAATTTCATTGCTAAGGTTGCGGATGCAGGAGTTCGTAATTTCTTAGGAAGAGAGGAAGTTGGTACATCGTCTCACATTGTTGCAGATCAGATTTTCCTCTCCCCAGAGTAAATTAGATTTCACCTTTTAGGCTCTCATATGCTTCTTTTTGTATCAAAGTTTCTTAGATCCTCCCCTTTCTTCAGGGTTCAAGAGTTCAAAAGATTTTCAGAGAAAAGTGATGTCTATGCTTTTGGTGTATTCCTCTTGGAATTAGTAAGTGGAAGAGAAGCATCAGAACCATCCCCTTCAAGCTCAACGCAAACTCTAGTTGAATGGGTAATGTCTAATCAATCTCAGATCACGTAATGTTGCCAATGTAATCTATTTTGAATCTCACTTGTATGCACTGGGAGCTGCAGATGCAAAACTTAACGGATTACGCAGATATACCAGTGATGATCGATGAGCGACTAGGAGGTACATACACAGCAGAAGGAGTTGAGGAGCTTATTACATTGACACTAAGATGTGTTGATGTATCAAGTGAAAAGAGACCAACAATGAGTTTTGTTGTGACAGAGCTTGAGAGAATATTGGATAAGGAAGTGAGCTTAACAACAGTAATGGGTGAAGGTACTCCAACTGTTACTCTTGGAAGTCAGCTTTTTAAAGCAACCAAGTGATTATAAAGGAACCATCTTTTTACATATATATATATATATATACATATATATATATTATAAGATCTCTGAGACAAAAACCAATCAGAGAACTTAAGGAGGAGGAAGAAGAAGAAGACTGATCAGCTGTTTTGTGTTAAGTGTATAAAGAACAGCTGAGCTTATTATTATTATTCGTTTGTTTTTTTTTCTTTTCCTCCTTTTTTACTTCCTTTGGAGGTTATTATTTTCAGCAATTATTTTTTTGACAATGAGTGCAGAAAAATATAACTTTGTAAAAACATTATTTATATTGATATAAAGGAAGCAAAGAGTGGAATGTTGTGTGATTCTTTGTTCATTTGTTACATTTTACTTTCTCTACAAAAATGTCATAAACTTGTGGGAAATTTTGAACTTAGCTTCAAAGACTTTATTGCCAAGTTGGTTGGTTGAATAAGTTTTGATCAAAAGATTCCAATTGGCTAACTGTTGAACTAACAGAAGGTGATAACTCCCTGTCTGAAGAACTCTAATTATTATGTTTGTACAGAAAAACTCAGAGCTACTTTTTCCTATAAAGTAGCAATTTTGGGAAAGATTTTGACCTTTAGCTTCAACCTACCTATGCTTTATAGCCTTTATTGCCAAAGGGAGATATAATAACCAAGTTGGTCTCTAAAGTTTTGATCAAAGATTCCAATTGGATAACAACACTCTTGGACTAGTATAGTTCCTACATTTCTCCATTTGCTACTAGTGAAAATAATCTCATTGCTCTGATTTATTACTGTCCCTAGTTTTGCTAAAAACCTTTGTGGGCACACAGAACTATAAACAAACAGTCTTTGAGCAGTTTGCAATATCAAAATCATGTTTGGTCTGATTTTATGTCGGGAGAGAAGATCTAATGATAAAGACTCTTCTTCTGTAGATGGTGAACTCGTTAATGAATGAATTAGTGGGTCTCTCATTTAATCTTACCTTCCTGATTTTGACCTCACAGAAGAAAAAACACAGTACTGATTGAAAAGCTTAGAAAAGAAATTACAAAACCAGAGATTGTTTGATTCTTAGTTCTTAGATAGAAACAGAGCTAATGTTTTGTCATAAATATTAAAAACCATAAAAGTTTTATTTTTAATTGAGAAAAAATGAGAACCACTCGATTTTGGATAGACCCATCATGTAAAGGTTTAAGCTTTGTTAGCCAAAGCGAAAGCTTTTTTTAGTTCTCTTGACAATGGCGACGAAGCTGATTTCACCGCCGTTGTCTTGTCCATGGGTTACTTCAAGAGAGGTGTCAATCAAAGGGCTTCCACGGCGGAGAAGAGAATGGATGGTCACGAAGCGAAACAGAGTCTCTGCTGTCACCGCCATGTTTGTGGAGCCACTCTCTGTTGTTTCTTCTTCAGCGATTCAGATTCATCAATGGTGGGAACAAAACCCTAATTCGTTACTGTTAATGACGGAGGCTACTGGTGGTTACTCATTGGCTAGCTATTACACGTCTTTGGGTTTGTTTGTTATCTCTGTTCCTGGTCTTTGGTCTCTAATCAAACGCTCTGTTAAATCTAAGGTTCGAACTTTTCGAATTACAAAAACCCTAATTTTCACACCCAATTCACAGTTTCTTTGACTTTAAAAGTTTGAATCTAATGTTGGGGATTTGCAGATAGTGAGAAAGACGTTTGTTGTTAATGAAGTCAAGAAGGAACCAAAGCAAGTAGCTGGAGAGATTCTATCTTTCTTCACAAGGAAGAATTTTAACATCACTGATCGTGGAGAGACGATCACGTAAGCCACAAAAATATTTCATTTGGGGTTTTGTGTTTAGTTACTGACATTGTTGTGGGGGTTTTGATAAAATAAGGTTTGAAGGAAAGATGGTTCCAAGTAGAGGACAAGCTGCTCTGCTTACGTTTTGTACATGTATAAGCTTAGCAAGTGTTGGTCTTGTCTTAACCATTACAGTGCCTGATTTTGGAAACAATTGGTTCTTCATCATTCTCCTCAGCCCACTTGCGTGAGCTCTCTCTCTCTCTCTGTCTCTCTTTAAGGTCTCTGAGACTGTGTTTTTGTCAATGAAATGTGATATTTGTGTGTGTGTTGCAGAGGAGTGTATTACTGGAAAAAGGCGTCCAGGAAAGAGGAGATAAAAGTGAAGATGATGGTGGGAGAAAAAGGGAAATTGGATGAGATTGTGGTTCAAGGAGATGATGTTCAAGTAGAAGAAATGAGGAAGGAGCTTCAGCTTAGTGAGAAAGGCATGGTGTATGTTAAAGGTCTTTTTGAGAGATCATCATGATAACATTTTAGCCTCTCCCAATTTTGCCTTTTGGGGAATGTGTTTATACTTTAAGGATGAGATTTAATGACTTTTTAACTCATTTTCCATACTTCATACTAAACAAATCGATTTGAATATAATGTCATGAGGATGTAACGTTGATAAATATAGTTCATTTGATTGAGCAATTTTGTTATTTTGAAAGTGAAAATCCATTCTTTAATTACCAAACCCAACCAAAAAGCCACAAATTTACTAAGAATCGGTAAGTATGGTCTTCATGAGTGATCCGCTAGTACATGATTACCAAAGCCAAGGTTGGTTCAGTATATGTCCTCCTGTGATCCTCGATCAACTGTTCCACGAATTGGTTTAAAAACTCTCTTAAGATGCGTTCATAGTTTCTCGTCATGAGTTTATTTGGTACGATGGGTATGGTTTGTATTTGGTACTTGTGATTTCACCAGCTATAATATGGATGCCAAAATCAAGATGGAAAAGCTGAAACAAGAACCATATAGAGCTGGAAATAATGAACAATTCTTGAGTTCATCTCTAGGGTGAATCCTTTTATTCACCTCCTCTTATTCTAAATCAAAATCTCACATCTAATAAAAATAAATAAACTCATTTAATTGTAAAATCTAAACTCTAACCACAATTTTAAACCGATATTTAACCTCGTTTAATTGTAAAATCTCAACCCTAATTGTTCTTTATAAACCGTGCCCAAACCAACATTTAATCCCGTTTAATTGTAAAATCTAAACCCGTTTATAAATGCAAACCAATATTTAACCTTGTTTAATTAGAAAATATAAACCCTAACCCTCTCTTATAAACCTAAACCGATATATAATTTCGTTTTGTTGACAAATTAGATTTTACAATTAGATATATATATATATATATATATATATATATATATATATTTTTTTTTTTATTATTATTATTATTATTTTTAATTCAAAACAGAGTAGATATCATTGACTGTTTTGGAATAGAATATGTCTAAACGAACCACCAAACTCTTAGAATGGGATCAATAAGAGCAAAGGGGTAATGGAAATATTAATAGGAATAGAATATGTCTAAACGAAGTCTAGCACTTTATTACAAAATTTCATCAGATCTGAGTGTTCTCCGGTGCATTCTTGTCTTCAGGCTAAGTCTCATCCACGTCACTTTCATCAATGTCAGAAGATCCTAAGTGGGGAGGAGGAGATACCGACTCCAACTTGTCCCCCCACTCAAGCACACCAACAAACACGCTCTCCTTTTCTCCTTCAATCACCGCTTCCTCTTCTCCTCCAGTCTCCTTTGCTTCCTCAAACACACAAACAAACACATTCTCCTCTTCTCCTTCAGTCACCGCTTCCTCTTCTCCTCCAATGATCACCACTTCCTCAATCATCACCCTCTCCTCCATTCTTCTTAGCTTGCTTGATCATATGTCTCACGTAACCGAAAGTGATTGGATAAATTAGTGAATTTACCGAAACAACAAGCTGGTGGTTAGCAGCTTCGGGAGTAACATATGCTGGATCAAACGGCTTATTCAGCAAGAAATGTTTAAAGGTATCTTTTGGCCTGCTTTGATGGTGAGGCTCCCACCCGAAGATTGAAACAAGCGGAACAAGGTGAGCTATGGGATTGAATGAGAAGTTTTCGGGCCTGTCTCTTCCGGAGGCTGAAATTTGCTGAGTTCCCTTTTCAAGGTTACCAAGTCATCACTCGCCAAAGCACTCTAAAGATGATATCGAGAGCCGATAGTCCATAACCTTCTTCTGTCGGCTCGCAATAACGAGCTCATGCTTTAGTAGTTTTTTTGTCGTCTCATGGATGAGAGCGTGAACTTTCAGTTCAGCCTCTCTTAGCTGCTGAATTTTTTTTTTTTATTATGTGGCAGATTCTAATTGGTTGGATAAGGAGGAGCTGAACAAAAGGATTCACCCCTAACGAAAACTAGATCTCGCCAGATATATTGATCTCATGGTCAATCAGAATATTCACAATATATTACTTGTCAAAAGTAATATCACTAAATATATCCACTCATACTTGAGCAAGCAAAATTTTGTGGAGGTATGTTAATGGTATTCTCTACCTACCCACTTGTGTCATTTTCTCTATTTCTTACCTTTTACTTTTCAATTTTTAAAATGTTGCTTATTTTCTTAACTTTCTCTATGTTGAGATATGAGTGTAAGACATCAAACACATTTTCTTACTCATTTTCCTTTTGTTTAGTGAATGCAAACTTTGTGCATTCGATGTACATAAGTTTATATAGTTTGAATGATGTTAGTCACATTGTGTTTCATGTAAGGTTTTAGTGTCAAGTTTGTGACTAACAATATTCGAATTATGAATTTATGTATAATATTGACGGTGTTGAAAATAATAAAATGAAGATTTAACCGTATTGAAGCGGCGGATTAATGATATTTTAAATTTTTATTAATATTGATTCACACCCATCTTGCCATATAACATGTCCCGTGTTATTTTAATTTTTTTTTCATATGTTCAAATGTTCATAATATTTTAAACTTTTTACTGATTTTAAATATATTAATTATAATATGTTAAAATTTAATATTTGCGGTAAAATTAAATAGTCTAACTAAAAAACGAATTAAACCGTATACAAATTTTCAATTTGGATGCTTGTTAAGTTAAGTTTCCTTCTCATTCAAGTTTGAGTTCGTTTTGATTTTATATATAATATGACTCTGAATCATTCTAAACATTTTTAGACGATGTGAGACGTTGAGCATACAATTTTTTATTAATTGAGTAATATATGTCCCTTTTAAAAATTTCGAATCATAATTTATGGAGAGACAAAATTTGAGATTTTTCTTAGATTTATGTATTATATGACGATTTAAAACAGTTAAAAAAAATAAAAATAGGAGAATCATAATTTTAAATCTTAACCAAATCTTCTAAATATCTATATTATTATATATAGAATATTATATGGATATTTTTTTATTATTTTGTAATCATTATAGGTGCAAAGCATATACCATAAATATTTCCGAAAATTAGTAT